TAATATATATAAACAGCTATGGAATCCAACCTGGTGAGATTCGGGCTCTTATTAGATGAAGCAATCTAAAGTTATGTATACAGAGCCTGCGGGGATGAATAGAACGTAGAAAATAACAGCCTACAGTACACACTGTAATCTCCATGAACCAAACTATCAAAAGGAAAGTGACCATATAATATCGAGTAGAAGTAAAAAGAAACAAACAGACACAATTATTCTCTCTCCTCGATTAGCAGTATACAACCCCAACAGTTTATCCGGCACTCAGTCCATGCCACAGAGTTCCGGGCCAACCAGATGGTTGACATTAAGTGAGAATGTCCATGATCATATCAGCCTGTGACTCTGGAACATCCTTCATCTGGTTCGAATAATAAGCCCTCTTCACATCCTCGAAAGGCTTGCAGGTGTTGAAGGAGGTACCCTAAAAGAAAAGGATAGTCAGATACATTCTCTTATAGAACAAAAAAAAATTAAACGGAAGATGAGATACATACATCATTCTGGGTATTGCAGCACATGGGGTTATAACCTTTCCCGGTGCAGGTATCAGGAACCTCTCTTTCAGTCATGTTCTTGCCTGCGAAGGCACATTGGATTAGTATAAATTGATCAAGCTTTCGGGCTATTTAAAGAGACAGGGAGGAACATACACTGGAAAGCTATAGCCGAGCTAACTTGCACCCCACCGAGAACTGGCACTAACTCGCCAAGCGACTTGACAATGTCCTTGCCCGTCTGCTGCACAGACATGCAGCAAGACTTGAACTTACCCGGAGGACATGTGTAAGCCTCGTAAGGGTTGGGCGAGGGGGTGGGTGAAGCCGAAGCAGAGCTCGAGGGCGAGATGAGAGACTTTTCCACGGAGGTTGTATAAGTTGGTGCCTCGCTTGCCATTGGGATGGCAGTGGTGACGGACAGAAGGGATACAAGGCCCGTGAGGAGAGTTGTGAGGCGCATTGTTGCTGCTTTTTTGCTCTTCGTATATGTTGTGCCGTGTAGGTATGGAAAATATAGAGTTGATGAATAGTACTGTAGAACGACTGGCCACGTCGCGTAGGGTTATGAGACTTGAATATCCGAAATGAACGTCGATTTTAGAGACAGTGGATTAAAAGAGTGTGTACTGGTCTCCAAAATTAAGACCAAAATGAATGGCTGGAGCTGGACCGGTTGGTTGTCGCAGATGTTGTCGGATAGGCGTGTCGGAGGGGAAGAAACAGGAAAACACGATGTTGAACTTCAATATATGCAGTGCTCGGTCTTCTGGGCGGTCCTGCCAGCCTCAATAGGCTCATTGCAGTTTCTTCTGCCTTCCTCCCTTGGGCGGTTTTGGTTGGCTCACAATCTATCCGAGATTCTAGGGGTTTCATCCCTCTGTTCAGAAAGGCACGATATGGCCTTGATTCGCTGCCGAGCTGAACCATGTGGAATGTGAACGCTCGGCAATTCCTCCTATTGGTCTTTCTGAGAGTTCGTGCTGTGGTATGTGGGCTTGGGTCCTGGTACTCTGTTGATTATGGGAAATATATCTATTTTGGCTGCGATATCACAGAGTCAATTGGAACATACAACAACATAGTCATGGCAATGATTGATAGCATCTTTAACTAACCCATTCTACATTCAATGGCACAACTCGTTGGGAGGACAGCTTCTTGTGAGTGTATCAGATTCTCCTTCGGAGGTATGCAAGGGGGTGCGTTCATCAATTCAATTCTGCTAAACTTAATTCTACACTTTTAAAAACCCTACATTTTGATCGAAAAAAACGTGTATTTTATCTCACACCTACATGTTTTAATCCCTTGATTGCGGAGCGAAGCGAAGCAATTAAATCATAACCTCGTGAGTGCATATCTGACCAGGGGGTTTTATCCTATGGGCTCCAAAATCATAGAAATAATGCGGTGAAATGTCATCGGCTAACTTTGGCAGAATAATCCAACCGGCAGAAAAAATAGACTACCATATGGTTAAACTTTATGGAGTAGTATACAGTAAAATAACATGCATTTTATTCTCTTTTCCTTTCTTTCTCTACGTTTAGAATCTTATTCAAAATGCACTCTTTCTTCTGATTTGAATTGGCACATAACAATTAATCTCTTTGATCTAGAGCGACTTAATTTTGTTAGGGGCTTACATACAAAGTGCAGGTACCTGGGTTTCCTAAGAAGGCGGTGTACAAAATTAGAAGGCGGTGTAGAGAGTGGTAGACCTGAGCGTAGGAAATGTGGTACCCGATTGGGAAGGCGGTGATAAATAATGCCCGATAATTCAGGCAGGGAGGGTTATTTCAAGGGAGGGGGGGGTTATATTACCAATCCCCTATACAAATTGTATGGAGGGCGGTGAGGTGAGATGAAAATCAGGCAGCCCGGGGGGTCGCATTAGTCAAAGGGGAATACTGCATGTAACCAGAGTATTATAAGAAGGGAATGATCCAACTTGCCAAGTGTATGGTATGCAATTGGAATGTATAAAAGTCTCAAGGTCTACAAGTTAATGGTCGCAGGCCTTAAATACATAAAGGGGAAACTCGCTTATGTTGTGAGGGTTCCAATAATATTGGACCGTATACAACAATAAGTTGAGTGTGTTACATGCCAGTTCGAAAAAAGTGCAATTCATTCAAGATTCTAAGTACAAGGAAGAAAGAGAAAGGAAAACAATCTACAGATCCCTTCGACTCGGTTTTGTGCGGTCCCTCGTTGCAAACCATGCAAAACACGACCTCGCTTCCGATTCGGGAAAGAACGACCATAAGGTGCGAACTTGGCAGGTGCGAGGGCCGAGGTTCCAGGTTGTGGCGGCAGGTACGCAAGTCGGCAGGCACAAGTCGGCAGATCGTCACAGAGTGCAGAAAGTGAGCCCAAAACGGTTGGAAAGCCAACCTGCATTTCAACATGCCATCACCAACACATCGCAGTATAGTACTTCTCCCAATGAAGAGACGTATCAGCCTCCTTAAACTTTTCCATCCCTCCAGAAACGCCATCCTCCGTGACTACCCAATCACCCAACTCAACACGCTCTGCCCAGCTCGTCAATATCTTATCCAAGAACTGGCCATGACTCCATCCAGGGAGAAGCCCAGAGTAGTAGATAATTTGATATAGCTGATCGGCTTCATCGGTAAGTAGAGGAGGATTCGAAGAATAACCAAGTAGTAGGCCGTTACTACTTCGTGCATAGCCATTCGCACCGATACCAAAAGGTAAAAGTAGCTTACACTGATTGCCATAGTCTTGCGCTATATCCTTATGAATATCTTCTATATAAAGGCCAGTAGGGATAGACCTTGGTTCCCCGTCAGGGAACCAGGGTCCAACCCAAGGGGATATACTCTCTCCCTCACCCCTGAATAGAAGTAGAGGAATTGTATCCTTCTCGTTATAGTCGATCCTATCACTTAAATCAGAGAAAAGCTTAGGAAAAGGCTGATCTATAATATCTGACAGCGATTGGAGTTGAATCCCAGGAGCGATATATCGGAACGAAAGATATCGACGCGGAAGAGCGAGAAGAAATGATCGGAGAAAAGTATCCTCTTTTATATAAGCCTTATCGAGGACTATGGTAGGATATAAAAGATCTATCTGGGTCTGGGGCGATGACGATGTAGGAAGTTTTTGCTCAATAGTGTCGATATGTCGAATAAAAGCGGCCACTGCTTTTTCGATATCACACTTTGTGAAATTTTGAAGATTCCATGGGAAGAATTTCGAAGGTATTGAAGACGTATATACCTTTCTATCTTCGATTATCTGAAGGTATACTGCAAGGATATCCTGTAGAGGTCTCCATTGCCATGATTTCTCGCAATCGCAAATCAGACTTTCCCAGTCGGGAAAAAAAGCTGCAAGCTCTGTACTCTGATCGAAGCTAACTTATAGTTAGAATAAAATAGTAAAATATTAATAGGATAAGTCAATCACAAACATGATACCAACTTCCTCAATATCGACCGCCCCGGTAGCCGGATATAACCAAACAAAACGATCACCCCATGTTTTGAGGGTTGAGGAATCAAAAAAACGCGTTTGTTCCTGTAAACCGCGCAAAAAATAAAAGAAGTAGAGACCGGAGCCTGGTCCCGGCGGGGTAGAATTAACTACCTTCGCCAGGCGTAGGAACGATGCCAGATTCGGAACCAGACGGGAATCAATTTCTACGGGAGCGGAACTTTGCCACCAAGTAGTGGAAGGCAATGTAACCAAGTCATTTCCGGCCCCTGTCCATGCATGTTCCAAAATTTTGTTGTGAAACTCGGCAGAAAGTGCCGGGTCAAATTGGGACTCCGGCATTAGTGCAGCTAGCAGTAGGATAGAATACCCCGGACACCGAAATGAGGGATTTTGCAAACTAGCGAAGACTGTCTTAAGGGGCCTGGACTAAGGATAACGCTAAGCTGTATCAGGAAGTAGAGTTTTATTGCAGGGTCCAACGTGGAGCTTGTTGATTGGTATGTTTCACCAAGTGTGGAATTGGAATTTCACTGCACCCGTGGTAGATACTCTCAGCTTGGCATGCGATTTCTTGCAATGATAGAAGAGTACATTCAATACAAAATAACGAGGATGAAGAAAGAAGCAAGTTGTAAAGTGGGAAGCAGCCTGTTGATATAGCTGACCATTTGCAAACATTGCAAACATCGAACCTTCTCACTTAGCAATCTAGCAAACAGTTACAAAACAGCAATAAGCAAGCAAGTATGCAAATCGTAGGAAAAGCGGCTAGGAAAGCGGTGAACCTTTATAGTAGACGGTCAGTCGATGCCTGTACTATCGGACAGGGAGGGGTCCGAACAATCACACAACAACCAACGGGGGCCCATTCTGAAATGCTTAAGAGCATGGAAGATCTAGAGTATTTCAAGTGCACATAAATCGAGTTTTTGCTCTAAGTATTAATTACCATGGCAATAAAACTGGTTCAGGACCCCTACTGAAGGCTGTTACATTCTTAGATCAATCTTTATTGATCTATGAATACTAACAAGGTTCAAAGACAGGCACCGGCATAGCAATTTCCGATACCACAGTAATCCTCTGTGCTTCCACAATAACCAGCAGTAGAGCAGCAATCGCCAAATTGCGTGCCAACACAGGTCTTGTTACCTACAAAGCTAGGGCCACATTCTCCATTGATACTCAATCCACCGTCTGCACCATCGCACTTACCAGAGTAGCATTTTCCTGGACCGCAGTAATCCGACCCACTTCCACAATAGCCATAGATTGAGCAGCAGCTATAGATATGTTAGTCTGGGAGGTGCATTTTGAAATTAGGATAGCGGGCGACTTACGACCCAAAGCTTGGATTTGTGCAAGTAGTACCCCCCAAGAAGGACCACAGGTACCGTTCGTGGTTGCGACAGTGGTCTCACAGGCACCGGAAATACAGTTACCTGCACTGCAGTAATCAGATGTGGCTCCAGTGGGAGAGAAGTGTCCTCCTGGCGGACTAAACCATATCTATCAGTCAGCATAACCAAGCAAGAAAGGTGGTATCTGCTTTAATCCAGACCTTTTGCAAATTCTCTGCGCGTCATTCAAGAATCCACAGGATCCCAAAATGTTGGCATTCCAAGTAAGGAACTGAGTCAAGGTGATATTATTGCTGGCCGTTGAGTATTTTTGCGCAAGTTCCTCACTGACTCCTTCGTCAGCAAATGCACGTCAAGTGTCTTTTTCTTTTGGGGGTAAGAATCATACTAACCAAGTAGGATTATACCACACAGTATCAATCTCACAGGGGGGAGGCAGACATATAGGAGAATCATATTCACAGAACTCGTTATTAGTCGCACGGACGACAGCCCCGGTGCTGACATTGTAAGTGTCAGATATGTTGAAACAGGGTCGATAAGTGTCAAACGGCTGCACTAGTTGACCCATACATGTAGTCGAAGTCGCTGTTGCGGTGACCGTCCCCGCGGGTGTGGATGCAGTCACAGTGGTAGTAGCTGTAACAAAAAGAGTTGTACTATAGGTAGTGACTGGCAAGGTTGTTGAGCAATTCCGTTGAATATTATGATACTGGTCCAGGAGATACTGAGTATGTGCACCGTCCGGTAGTAGGGGTGACATCAGACGCTGGCGCCAAATTTTGATAAAGCATTCACTACAAAGCTTCTCATTGTCAGTAAGGGCCGATTCTTTCCTAGAAAATCTGATAGTACCAGGCTGCTGTTATAAAGACGAGTGACATCTTTCATCCCATCAGTGATTTCGGTAACAGACCAAGTGGGGTCAGAGCACACCCCGCGATTATCGAGTCTGAGCAAAATAGCCTGTGTTCAAGGTCGATTTGGAAATGAAGAACAAATATTCAGTAGCAGAGCGAAGAAGGATTCCCAGTTCCTGTGTTTCTGACCACAACGTGCATTTGTTATGATATTCTCATTGATGCTGGGTGTAGTACTTCGTGGATGTCAACGAGAACTTACAAAGCTCTTTACTCTGGTCGAAGCGTACCACCAATTCCACAATGCTTCTCGCTCAAGACGCTTCCTGCAAGCCGCAAATGTTAACCCGTCAAGCATTCCCTGGAGTATGAGGGTTGTTGGGGTGTTTCCCCAAACTGTGGATGAAATCCACTTTGCAATGTTTGGGGTAACGAACTGCCTGATTCAGATCGACACCAATCTCGTCCAAAACCTCCTTCAAAATATATTCTCCTTCTTCTGCTTGCTTCGCATTCTATTCCGGTGACTTGCCGCTTACATATGTATTGCAACAAAAAACTAGAAAAGATACCGAACAAACCCGGAAAAAAGGTGCAAAAATAGATTGAAGATTACAAAGCAGGCGCGATAAACGCATCCTTCGTTCAAGCCACAATAGGATTGTTGCGGTGACGTCAAATTGTCTCAGATCATAAGCCTTGGTTCAGCCACCATTCGATAACTTGATAAATAACGTAAATGAACTAGAGCCAGTATTCTTTGATACCAATCGAACCATTCGTACTACGCGGGGCTACAACATTACGAGCTATATCCAGCCAATGAAAAGAAGAAAGGAGAAAGGAAATAAAACACCACCAAATGGCAAAAAAACAAGATTGCTCCGGTTCGATTGCGCATAATTGTACAGGTCATCAATGGCCAACATGGCTAGGTGGTATCGTAACAGGGTATAGTTGAAAGTTGGTTCATCACATCGAATCAAAAAGAAAGAAAAGCACGGAATCGCTCGGATGAAGTACAAGTAATGTACAGGCCAATATTCCTTTCCAGAAGGAATATCAAGCATTGATCACATACCCAGACCCCAGGAGAATGGATAGCGTTCGAGAAATTTTCGAAATGGGGATGAAATATCGTTTGTAAACTGCTTTTCAGTTCAAGGAGCAACTCCAAAGCGGTCACAGGTGACAAGAATGAGAAGGTAAAAGTCACGGTAGGGATTCAAGACATCTTCGACGCTGAGAGTCAACGGATATCCTGAAAATGCCGAGCAGAAATAAAAAGTTGGTAAAAAGTTGGTAAAAAGGGGTTGGGGGAATGAAAAGCGCTTTCATAGTTGACCCAGACAAGCCGAGGCCAAATAGAAATCAAACTAGAAAAAAAACAATTCAATATATCGCTTAAAAGCAGGCACGCTCTCCCGCGCGAATCTCATAAAACTCCGCAGAAAATTCTGCATTTGGGTAGGCACTGACGGAAATTAGACGTGGCCGCTGATGGCCCAATAAGGCCATCAACAGCTCGCCAATGCCATGTATCGTTATGATCCTAGATCACGGTCTTGGTGGAATAGGACACTGAAAAGACATTCGTTAGCATTCCTGCGAATCAAAGATATTAAGATGAGGGCAAATGCATACCTTGATAGAGGAAAGCCCTAATATCCAACAGACTTAGCGTCGGCCATGTCACGGCTACCGATCTTGTTCTCGGCGGAGGGGGCGGCATTGCTGATGGGCGTGAGAGGCCCATTGGCCTGTCGGGACATGTTGCTGCCGCTAGAGGCGAGGCTACGGCCACTCTTGCCGCTGCTCCGGCTATCACGGCGAGAGTTATCCGTGTCGACGAAGGAAGACATTTGGCGCTGGGTGTATTCCAGCATGGAGCGGTTGTAGTCCTCCAGCGAGGCGGCAGAGGGATCAAGCGACCGGTAAGATTCGACAAGAGTCTCACTGGCCATGTTGTCCACGCCAGCAGTTGGGAACATGGAGTGGATGTCTTCGGTTGCTTGTTGCGTTTGAGCGGAGTGAGTCATGGTGGAAGAATCGCTAGTAGTGAACGGGTCAGCTTATGTTTTTGAGACAAAGTATCAGGGCAGCGCTAACAGTGCTGATCAGTGGCATCATGACGGTCTGTGTGCTATAATATAGGACGGCATGGGGATAAGGCTGATGTATGGGACGATCCCCGTGGAGGGGTGCCGTGGGGAAGCCGGATGGTATTTACCAGTCAATTCAAGGTCACTCACCTGTGGAATATTTCAAGATCTAACCAATTTTGGCAGTTGAGTTGAATAGTAATGGTCCTAAAGATTGCGAATAGGAAAGATAATGCGATGGTAAATTGAAAGTCCGACGGTACGTTGTCCGGGCCAGCGCATAAAATAGTAGGGGAAAGTGCTATGGGGCAGATTCAGGAGTTAGGGCATATACGAAGAACAATTGGATCCAATCTGCGAGCAAGGTTTATATATATGAAATCACATCGGTGGATTGTTGATGCAAACGCACCTATGTTTGCCTCTGATAGGCCAATAGGGTGCCTAATTTCTGCTTCATCCATGGTAAGCACGAGATCTCTACCGATTACACCAAGCGGAGTACAGTGACATAATTGGCCAAAAGGGGGAGGGGGTGAAAGGGGGGAGGATAATTTCTCCTAGGCGACATCATATGTAAGAAGCATCATCACACGCATCATCGTAAGAAGCATCATAAACCGAGCATCCATAAACCCCAGCCCTTATTTTTTGGAGGTAAGTGACCGCGTCGACCGATTATTGGGTACGTCCAGGAGCACGGTGTGGGGTCGAATCATCATCAGAGGACGTTATGAACTAACTAATATCCACATGTGCACAGAGACTGGTGCACTTTGGGAGCGATATCATCAGCTGTTCCACCCATGGATTGGTCACCGTTCTCCGATGAGGTCACTGGGGAATGTGGATGACCAGTGAGAGGCGAAGGCGGTTTGAGATCGGCACAATTACAGTCCGGTCCCCTGCAGATCTTTGCCTGACGTCCGCAGGACGAATCATAATTGAATTCCCATGGGCTTTTGAGGGGCGAGGCCCATCTTGCATTCTGTCTCGCTACGGGATAGGGTGTTCTTGTGAAGGAAAATGTGGACATCGTTGGTGGAGACCCGGCGCAGGAGTGGTAAAGTGGTCAATACGCGGTTGAAAAGCCGCAATTCAGGGTGTAGTTCTAGTACGGAGTAGCGAGAGCCCTGGAACCATCGATTGATTCAAAATAAACCGATAGATCAAGTAATCCCGGGTGGCCGCAGGAGAAAAAGGGGCGTGCCGTTGCGTAGCTAAGGCTCAGGTCGAACGGAGCTATGCCGTCATACCCCCCAGGCATCGGGGCGACCCGAGCAATCGATTTAGGTTTGTATTTCGGCCGGCGGAGATTCGCCGGTCGTAGAATTGGCAAACGAAAGGACCCGAGGCTGGTTTTCGATTATCAAAAGCGGAACTGAGCTTGAACCCGGAACGGTCTGGTACATCGTATCAAAGGCATGGAGGCTGTCAGCCACAGTGGAGACATAGTTTGCAGCAGATGAAGGTTTAATTAGTTCTCAGACTGTCTTATTCGCTGCGGTAGCATCAGAAATGGACAAAATAGCAGGGAGAAATGGGGGCGTGTGGAGAGGAGCTAGTGATCTGAGAATTTTAGCGTTGATGCCTGAGGCAGAATAGCACCTGACGTCAGGGAGCCCTCATCTTCAAATGATATTATGTTTGTATATTGACCACAACTCTACTCTATATTGTGTGTAATCGCAAATATGTCTGACTTCCGGCAGATGAATCTCAAGCACGGTACTGGAACCAAAAGATTCTATTATCAATAGAGTCGGAGCCGAAACTCGCGACCGACTGTGTTCCGATATGGAAACCAGGGTCGTTCCACCTTGTTGGAGTCTGAAATTGTTCTAGAAGGATAGGATATTGGCATGAATGATCGGTACGACACGTGGGAGCCAGTGGTAGGATCATCTGTAACCGAAGAACGATGGAGGAGGGTACGGATTTGCCATCCATGAACCCTGGACGGAAGTTGATGCCAGCCGGGAGGGGGGAGGCAAATTATTGCAAGATCAGCTTGACACCGGATACCGGATATACGATAATTTGCCTCAACATCATGTTGTACATTTTGCCCAGCTTGATGGTGCCGTACTATACAGTACCTACTACTACAAACCTAGACTGACATATCTGACATATTAGGGCAAGCGGAGGCCTATACCCAGCATATCAGATCTCCTTTCCCCGAGATATGTTTCATGTACGAGAGATACAGCAACGTCAGACGAGCGTTTGACACACAACCTATGTTGTCCGTTACAGTCATGATCGGCCATCTGACTTTTCAAACTAGACCTGTTCTGAGGAAGCAGTCTAATCCAGCTAGCACCGGTCTAGACCAATGCAAGTAATATACTGAGCTTATCATGCTACAATATGCAGATCCAGAGAGATATTGTTACAATTGGTGGAGAAACTATGATACTAATGTGTATAAGGATTGACTCAAATTCTATGCGATGTCGCAAGTCGAAAGAAACTTGCGGAGTACAATGTAAGTTTCACAATATAGTCTAATAGAGTTTGATCCATAATACCGCTCCTCCACCACAAGGGGCTGATCATAGATATGACGGCATCGGATAATGTACGTGGATTGTATCAACAGCGGAGCGTGTCAAAAACAAGCGTGCGCGATTATGCATTGTGCACTTGCGGGTCTTCCTCTGCTTATCGAATGCCAATTAATGACTTTTCACGATCCACTTTCTTCATTATCCTGATCCATCTCGTGCCTGGTCTGAAGACCTGTGATATCATTTGAGATACGCTGGGGATTGTCAAACCCCGGTATCTGACTCAAGTACCGTTTACATTGATCGGCGCACAGCAACAATGTATGTTGTATGTATTGTTTTCCGAATCGGGAAAGTCTGATCTGAGCCTCGTCATAATGGTCTTGTGGGTTCATATGTGGTTCACCACAGCCTCTTGACGGCGATCGCTATGATGCATTGTAGGCCAAAGAGGACGAAAGCTTAGCGTACAGCGTATCTTGTACACCGTAGCAAGCATATGATATCACTAGTCGATTCTTATTAGCTGATTCTACCGGAAGTGCCTCACGTCATAGCTCCTTCCCCGGATGCCCCTGGGCAAGACACAACCCCATATCCACACATTTATTATCGATCCTCTTTGCTGCATGCCACTCGTATATTGAAAGTCAAAAACCTGTTTTGGATCAGATATCGATCTCGATGGTACTTTGTACAACATTGCCCCGTACCTGGGACAACACTCAGCACGCTAGTGTTCCAAGGTTTATCAATGCATTGGACTTGGCATGATATATGGGGAGGACATCCAATGTATGACTGACGTATGAAACCGGTTAGAAACTCATTAGTATGTGAGCTTCCAAACGCCTTTGCTCTGCGGTCTGGACCCTGGTCGCATGTTGTTTTGTTGTAAGTCATTCCACGTACTGAATTCCACATTCTAACCGAAATTTCCTTCGTCTAGAAACAGGCTCTGTCCCTGCTAGCAGCGAGCATTGAGTGCCTGATTCCCCGGCTGCGTTCACCGAGAGAGGTGCGAGAATGGAGAACGGGTCCAGCACAACATCGACACACTTTTTCATCGGCCTCGAGTCAGCAAAAGACCATCTAACATAAACAGTTTCTATCCCTGCGAGCATATACCAACATATACCAACATGAAGCAACGATCACCCCCACCTTCCCGACTGCGCTATGATTCGGTGCTCATCGATGTCGTTCGCAGACCACCCGACCTCCTCTTTGGACAATCTCTTCGACGGACACCGTTCATATCTCTGCAAGAATGGTTTGGAGACTTGGGGCTTACGACGTATAACATCGGGCATCTCGAGCGTGCCGGGCATACGCTATCACAGTGTCCTTTGATCATACTGACATGTCAACCGATCTTCTCTTAGTGAGTTGTAAGTCCCCCTACCTAATGAAACATCGTAGACCATCAGCTTTGAATTCATCTTTCTCATGTTTCTTTTGGAAACCAAATATTCACCTCAATGGCTTTCCTTTGGTGTGACATACGATCAACGGACCACCATGACTCGAAGCCAACTACTTCGTACCATACTAGTATATTTTTGATCTAGACAGACAAGAACATAGATTTTGCAACAGAAATAACTAGGCCAACACGCCGGACATAGAGGTAGTAAAATGCATCATATTATTGTTCATGCTCATGCTCATATCACACGTAACCTGTTTCAAAAAATCGTTATTACGAATCATCCAAGTAGGACAGACAGCAGCGACAACAGTCCAAACACGACCATGACTTGCGCCTATATCCAATCTCAAATACGGGGAACATGTGAACATACCTTTCCGGGCGCCCTGGAAGAAGAAGCGCACAACAAAGACCTGCAACGCAGCCATGGAAACCATCATCAAAGACTCAATCACACTGAAGTTGAAAATACGGCGCTCGGTACTCCGCACGGTGCTGAAGTTACGGTTCTCGCGAGTGCGGAAGTACTTCTGGTTGCGGGAGACGGTAGAGAGTTGCGCGGACAGCTTGTAGATGGACTCCTCCAGACTGGTGGTTTGCTCGGGGCTAGCGCCCTGGCGGGAGGGCAATTGGGCGCGCTGTTCATTCTCGACCTGTAGGTTCAATGGCCCAATTAGCATTTGTTGACCGGTTCGTCAAGTCGATGGATATGGAACGTACCGCAATCTCGAAGTCAACCATCTTCTCGGCGAAGGTGGACATCTCATTGTTGAAGCAGAAGGTGTACTCGCCAATGCTCTGCGCAGTGAAGACAAAGTCGCCCTGTCGCTCTTTTGCACCGTCTAAAACGACCTTGCCGCCCGGTGCGGTAACGGAGTAGTCGACATCGAAGGAACCGCCAGATTGGACCTACATTGTACAATATCAGCATTTGGCGCCCGCCAAGTGTATCCAAAGCTCCGCGACCATAACAAAATATCACTGAATGAATGTGTTTGATGGATAACCAATTGGACGTACCGCGAAGTAGAAGGCCACCTTGGCGTTGCTCTGCTCAACGTTTGTGAAGAAGCATGCTTTCTCGTTCGCCTCGAGCCTGTAGGTCAGGGCAGTTGCGGTGACGGATGAGACCAGGGAGGCCAGACCGGCGAAAAGAGCGAACCGCATTGTGAGACAGATATACCGAGAGGGACCGTTGAACTGGGGGATGATATCCGCGTCAGGAGTCCGTTCGGACCAACTTTGTCTTCGGCTGTTTGACTTGTTTGCATCCAAACAAACTTCCGCATATGTCGACTTCTGACTACTTCACGAGTCTATTTTGTAGGGATACACCACACACATGGGAAATAAACAATTTGCACTCATCATGCAGACGGTATTGTCTTCTACTTCGACTGGTTACATGAAAAAAATACGCAAATAAAAAGAGAAAGGCATGATCATCGCATCAGGGTGTCGCTGCTCATGTACCGGATTGCAGCATACAGCCCTCGACTCGTAACCCCCCAGCGCCATGACTTTAACACTTGTTTAACGAATGGAGAATCCATCACTCTTGCCCCAGAAGCTCCGGCTCTTGTTGGGATGATCAAGACCTAGGAAGTCATCGGCGCTAGCCGCTATATCTGACAAGATGTCACCTGAGAGGAGTTAGTCAGTCCGACCAATGGAATCAAAGCAAAGGCACTCACCATCTTCAAGATACTTGGCGTTAGAGAAGGATGCACGGGGGACCACGGCAAACTTGATCTTCTCAAAGTTCTTGCCCTTGATCTGTGTGCGGGCGGAAAGGCGTTTCTTTGTCTCTGCGAAAAGTTCTCCAGGCTTCACAACAAATTTGAAGGGGATTCCGTGAGTCCGGCTGGGTTCGCGATCGAAGCTGAACACGCTAATGACGCGCTCGTCGGCGTTCATATTCAATTCTTCCGATGGGATCTTTTCGGCGTACAGTGTGGCGTACTCGTTAATGGCAGCCACGCTTTGGTCGCTCCGAAGTTCTTTGTAGACTTTTCCACTGTGTGTTTCGGCAATCCGGATCGGCTCATCGCCCAGTTCCAACTTCTGCTGCAACGCAGCCAGAAGATCTGCGACGGTACCGCTACGGGAAACCAAGATCTCAACAATCTCCTAAATGAATATTAGCCAAAGCCCTGCGGCATGGATATGGAATGCTTAACACTAACCTCTTTGGTGACGCCATCGGGGAGCCATGTCACTTTGAAGCACTTCTTACTCTCGTAGTCCGTCAAACTCATGTCCAGTATCTCGTAGTACAAAGCATCTGCCCGGTGCATGGTGTAGCCGTAGGCACCATATTGACCGTTAAGGATCTGTGAGAGGTTCTGATTGACGTTTCGTTTCAGGAAAGGTTTGGCCTTGCCAGTACTAGCCATAACGGGTGCAAATCGAAGATGAGTCTCGTCCACCCTGAGATGCTCACCAACCTTCTTGGCGAACTGGTCATAGGTCATTTTGCGGCTGAGAGTCAAGTAGAAAGTTTCCCCCTCATTGGTCTTGACCGGGGCGAATTGTACTTCCATGCGGTTCAAAAGGTAATCGTAAAATTGCCGAGCGTCTGTGTAAAGTACCGAGGGTGGCAGATTGGATTCCTTGATTGAGCGCTGGAAGGTAATAATATCGCCGTCCTGGATTTCAGATTGCTGGAAAGTCTGCTTTGGTTTCATAAGGTCGATCATGGTATGTTTGATCTCTTCAAAGAGCATGAACTCTGTACCGGCAGGCCAATCCATCTTGGAAAGGATTGTCGGGGCCAGTTCGCTCACCTTCTGGCTCTTGTGGACGTAGACAGAGCAAACACCAGTCAAGGTCTGGGTCGTAATGTCGAAGTTTTTGAGGAAAATGAGAATCGAGTCATTATCGGGCCATGGAGTAGGTTGTCCGTCTGCGCCGGTCGGCGACACCTCCATCCACAAGCGGAAGATCTGACCTTTAGTGCCGAATTTGTTGTACGCCTCCTCAACAGTCATTTCCTGGTCGCGGATCACCTGATCGGGTCGGGTTGTTTTGTTCTGACGGTTGACCATGACCCAGAATCGAATGGCTTCCGGTTTGAGTTTTCGTTCTTCGGCGATTTCCTGTGCAAATTCGCTGACTTTCTTTGTCCGAAGAATCTTGTATTGCGTGGGAAGCGCCGGATCTTCCGCGGGTAGGTCATTGCTAGTCAGATCGAAGCCGTGATGGTTTCGGAATGAATCCCCGTCAAGGACGCCGACATTCATGTAAAGGTGGGCTTCTTCTCTCTCTTTCTTGCGACGCAACATCTCCGCCCGGTCCTCTGACATACGCTTCTCTATTCCATAGTTAGCCAGCCGTCCAATTCCCCTAAGAACGGAAATCTCTTAACATACCAATGTGGGAGGGCACATCATCTTTTGTGACCGGTAATAATACTTGATCCTGTCTTGTCTTCCGGATGTAGACCAACATGTAGGCGTTGTTTGTGCGGATAGCGGACCGTCCTCCAGTCGCTCCGTTCGTGCGCTGCTGGGAGTCTCCGTAGTTCTCATCCAGGACTTCTTTGTCAGTAGCTCGGTTGACTCGGTCATCATCAAAGCGGTACCAGTGTCCATCCTTGGTGGGTTTGAGGAAGGCATAGTAATGCCCGGCATCGAGGTTACCGCTGTGGACGAGAACACCGTGCAATTGGTAAACCCAAGATTCCGACTTGTCGGCGCTCTCAGAAAGATAAGGAGCTGCATCGAACTCCATAGGGAATGTGTGATAATCATTGACCTTGGCCATCATGTCGAGGTTGAGGTCGTACTCAAAACGTTTGAGATGAAGATGCAGAACGGGAGGGAAGCTCTCGAAAATGACGCCCTTCTTAGCGTCTTGCAGACCGTATGGCTGCCCAGCTTCGTACTTGTTCTCCCCTCCAGGGTCTCGACCTGAATGTAATCCCTGAAGCTGTCATCCAAGGTCTTGTTGCCTCGAACGTTGAGTTGAATATCCCAGAAGTCTTCCACACGAGAAGACTCGTAATCGACATTGATGCAAGAAATGTACGTTTTTGTTTTCCCGACAAACAGATCCGGCAGAACTTTTTCGGCAATCGTACCTTTCATCTTGTGCTCCAATCTTTCCATGAGTTTTCGCGAGAGCTCCTGTACATCTTGCTGCTCAAAGATCTGACTCGATTGCCATCCGAAAGATGCGGTTAGCTCGGTTGTGGAAACAGCAACATCATTGGTCTGGAGGTTGTAAAATAGTCTCTGGAGCGCCCACGCGCTGTTTTCACGCGAAGCTTCCTGGTCAGTCGGTATTTGATACACAGCCTAACGAGTTTCATTAGTCTCCATAATTCGGGAGCAATCGAACTTTTCCCTTTCATACCTTGCGGAAAGCATTTGTGAAATAGAGCGACTGCAACAGTGAGTTCAGGTAGCATGTGGCTCCCTGATTCCTCAATCCCACCATTCCAGTCTCCTTCTTCGAGTCATAACTAAAAAGAGAAAATTAGCTTCACTCGGGTCAAACCTCGCGGAAAAAACACACTTTTGGAAACTGTGCCACAAGACCCCCGTGGGATCTTTCACTACACGAACGTAGGCCGTGACAATTGCCTCGTCATCCTGCACCAACGGGACGGATTTTCCCTCCCACGGATGGCTGAACAGGCCCTTGAGGTCGGAGAATCGAGTGAAACCCCAGTCCCCTTCCTCGGCGGTGAAACGGTGTGTTGCAACTAGAATTCGACTTAGCGTTTTGATCAAGCGATTCCTCCGGAATTGAATATCTTACTATGGTGTGTATAAATGGAAGGATCGTTCACGTTCGACAACACCAGCGCAAACTGCACACAAGCGTACCAGTTCTCCGGGGGTCCGTTCTCCCACGCATGCTCGAGGTAAAACGAGGCGAATTCGGTCTGATTGCCGTAGGGGAAGAAGAGGATGCGCCTATTTCCGAGTCAGATTCAATGCCGGCATAGAGCCATGGAGCCAATCCAGGCAAAGAGTTTTCAAGCACTCACCAAGGTGAACCACCACATCGGAAGACAGGTCCGTGCGACTTGCGCTCCATCTTGCGCCAGTCTGACAAGCGCCATGTGTTATAGACCTCGTCTAGAGTTTCGAGGTCCGTGTTGTGGGGGAGGACCTTTGCCATCATCGCCGCATCTATATCCACCGGGGCTCTTGGTTAGCGACCGCTTAGCACAAATAAGCAAAGAGGCAGTGCACAGCTTGAGGGCGATCTCATTCGGGTGCCATGCTTTGCCTAGCTAACCCGTCAAACAGCCCTCTTGCTTGTGGTAAGGAAGGAGAAGCAACAAAGAACATACGGTCATCTGCGGTCGGCGCGGACTCAGGCTCGTCGGACCCCGAGCGGGATACGACGACGACATCGGTCTTTTCGGCAGGGTATTGATCGTACTCATCGACAAGCATGTCGTTCTCCGCGAGCTGTTAGAACAGGGTTAGATCCAATGACGACACTAGCGAGGGGCACGGTCGGGGAATCTCTTACGTTTTCCATCGCGGAAAGCGCCTTCCCGTCCCGGAAGGCGTCAGAGGTTGTATTTGAGGAAAGTTTTGTGAATAAGAAGACGGAATGTTGGCAAGAAATACACTGTAGAGCTGGTGGTGGAGGAAATTTGTCTGAACCCGCAAAATAATAAGGGCCGGGAGCTAGCGGTGGCGGAGCCTCGAGGGCTCGGCAGTGATATTGGTGGATGATGTCTGTGAAAACAGTCTTTGATATGCTTGATTTCTGCAGTTGACAGCTTTTTTACTGAGCTCTAACTTGTCGCTCACTTGAATTGGAACTAAAAGGAGTTTGCTTAGTTGGCAGTGTGCAATAATGTATGCGGGAGTGACTAGATGCGAAGTATACGGTGAAGAAAAGCCCTATTTTTATACCGGGCCGATTTAGCGGTGATATAGATAGCGACCTAAATACGTTTAAGTTCTGCAAGCTCTATATACTTCTTTAAATATGCTCTCAATCACTAAATATGCCGTGGCCCTCAGATGATCCAACCTTGGAAAGGGCCCACGAGCTTAGCCCCAGTCCGTGCGAGTGCCTTATACCCGAGGCATCTTCGGACGAGAATCCAGATCGTATGACATTGGGTTTGCAGTCTTAGAACGTTCCATATATCGAGATATATCATCTAGACAACAAAAAACAGATCTTGCCATAACAAGCCTTGTGTCGGTGTCACATGCTTGGCTCACCGCCCGGCACCCCCAAACTCTTGGAGTCCCAACTACGCGCACGCACAAGATAGTGAGCACTTCTATGGTCTGTTACTTATTGAATAAGTCCATGGAGCACAATGAGATTGTCTTATCCAGCTAGACGCTGGCAGCTCCTCCAATCCCCCTCGAAACGCTTCTATTCTGGAGCTCACAGCCCGCCGCCATGGCGGCCAGTTTCTGCAGTAGATGAGTATGGATGACTCACATTTCCGATGCTTGAACTGGGGATACTAATTGGGATATACTGGCAGATGGGTGGAGCGAGCTATTCGACCTATCAGTCTTCGTCAGTTGACCTTCTTTGGTCGTACTTTGACCGAACCACGACTTATCAGCTCCGCAAACTACGTGCGGACCGAGCTTCCTACTCGGTAAGTTGAGAGTCAATTGCAGAATTAGAAAATAAAAGGCTGATCAGGGTCATCGACAGCCTTGCGCATCGTCTGCGAGACATCCAGCAGCTGCCATATGTGGTAGTTGCCAACCCCCATCTCACCCTTGTATACGAACTGTACTACAAAGCATTCGAGAGGGCTCGGGTGGTTCCTGAGATTAAGACGCTTGACGATAATGACCGTTTCTGTGACATCCTGAAGGAAATGCTACGAGAACATCTAGTTGCAATTCCCAACCTGGCCATAGGCGTGCTGGAATGCCGAAATCTCGCCCCAGCGGACGAAATGGACCGGTTAATGAACACACTTCTGCGAGCGGTATGTAAGGCCGACCTTTGGCCTGCCTCCTAGCTGACAAGTATCTCATCGGTAGCGAATCTCTCGCCGAGTCATCGCAGAGCAGCACCTAGCTCTGACCGAAACTTTCAACTCACCATGGCATTTCCCCGATTCCCACGACCGAACCGACATCAATGCAGAATTTGTCGGCGAAGTGTTCCTAAAGTGCAAGGCGAAGGAGGTAATCGAGGATTGTGGAAAGGTCGCACAAGATCTGATGAAGAAGATATCGGGGTCGACCCAGATCCCCGCGATCGTCGTGAAGGGCCATGCCGACGCGACCTTCCCATATATCTTGAGCCACTTGGAATATATCATCGGAGAACTTCTCCGAAACTCAGTGCAGGCAGTGATGGAGCGGTATCAGAATTCAACCGAACCCCCACCACCTATCGAAGTGCTCGTGTGCGAGACCCCGCAGCATGTGATCATGCGCATATCTGATCAAGGAGGAGGAATCCCTCGAGAGATTCTGCCGTATCTGTGGTCTTTTAGCAAAGGTCCTCGCACGCAAACACGGCTGGAAAATCTCGGACAGGTGCCCGCAATGGCGGCGACGATGCAAGAACTGCAAGTGTCACACGACCGTAAACACACCGACCGAGAATCATACCATGAGGGATCCCTGGACACATTGACATCCCGACCGCCCAATCTCCGTCTAGGGATGGGTCTCCCTATGAGCCGAGTCTATGCTGAATATTGGGCAGGCAGTTTAGAGCTGCACAGTCTGGAAGGGTATGGAGTGGACGCATTTTTGCAGTTCTCGAAGCTCGGCAACAAGAACGAGCAGGTTACAACTCGGGCGGCGATTGACGCGGTGTAGGACCTGATACTGGGGATATCACAGGAAATATATTCCCAGTACCTCTACATCTTCTCCAAGTCCGTTCAATGTACGTGCCCGTCAATTGTACTTGCCGTCTCTGTACAGCCACCAGCCACGTATTGACTCGTGGCATGTGGCGGTGTCCAGGTGCCAGCTATAGATGACGTCATGATGTGCTCAGCCAGCAAATCAGCTTCACGGCTGCCTCAGCCCTACGAGTTCCCTCTCAGACCTTGTGACGTCGTGGCCAAGATCAAGATGAAACGCAACAACTCTCCCGCCGAGGACAACACCCCTATTTATATCTTCATCCTCCTCTTTGCAATTCTCCTTCTTAGTTTTTTGGCCACCACCGATTTCAAGCCTCGATCTACCAAACCTGAACAGTAACACCTACATCAAACATCACCGCAATCATGGCCGGCACTTGCTCCATGCTTTGTTTGATCATCATCACCATATTCAGTAAGTAAACACCTCTGCTGTTGGAACAACATCAAAAGACCACCACAAAACCCACCCCCACACAGTGATCCACAGCCCCTCAGTCTACCAGCCTATCCACCAGAATGATCTGCTAACAAACCAAACAGTTCCCCCTCTTGGTGTCTTTATGATTTCAGGCTGCGGAGTTGACTTCTGGATCAACCTCCTGCTCACACTTCTCGGGTGAGTGCTATACATCCAGACTTCCCGTTACATTCCACAACTAACCAGCGATATCTCCCAGTTACTTTCCCGGACACATCCATGCCTTCTATTTGGAATACGTTTATTATGATCGTCGCAATCGGGATCCGTTGACTCGTGCCTCTCAACAACCCGCACCCGGCGTCTACTCCGATCGAATCCAGAACGGAGGCCATCATCATGCACCACCCGCAGGCGTTAATTACGGTACCATTTGATTTTCTTTGGACGAACTCCGGACTATCTTGTTCGAGATGCTTGTCTCAGTCTGTCCACGGTCGGCATTCTCTATGACGTTAAACCTAATCGAGTCTCTACCTCTGCTGTATCCATGGCGTCGATCATTGTTCTTCATAGTGTAACCGGACACCTAAAACAAAAAATGAAATGAGAAAGCTGTGTTTGCACTATCCAATGATGATGCGTTTCATATGTATCATTCCCAAAATGCAACCGTATAAGGCGAGCCAAAGCTCCCAAAAGTAAACAAAAAAAGGTAGATCCTAACTCCCTATATCAACAGACCCAATCAAAGCCTATACACTGGCCTGCTCTGCCTTTACCTCTTCTGCCTTCACCTGTTCTGCCTTCGCCCTCTCCACCTTCACCTTCTCCGCCTCCTCGGCCGCCTCCTTAGCCCTCTTCTCAGCAGCAGTCTTCTCCTCAGGGAAAGCAAAAGGCTCACTGCTGACAATCGTGCCAGCAGTCCTGGGCACAGCACCCGTACCAGGCGCCCAGAACAAAGCACCAACCCACGGCTGAACATTCCACCCAACATGAAGGGTGACATTCTGACGCTCCGCCAGCCGACCGGTAATATCACTGACCTGGTATTTACCCTTCTGGCCACGCAGCCTCAGGACACCGGTCGCCTTCTTATTCTTCGCCTTCTTAGGCGGCTTAGCATGGCGCTTAGCGTTCCTCTGTGCAGCGGCGACAGAATCCGACAAAACAGCCGCGGGGAGAAGCGCAATGACCTTGTCCTTGAGGATTTCCCATGAATACGGCGACGGGGCCGCAGGGATGATAGTGTCCCAGATGATAGACTCCGAGAGGCGGACCTGCGAGTCGGGGTTCTCGGAGGAGGAGTAGGTAGCGTAGACGTAGACGAAGAGCTGTTTCGTGTTCCAGTTGAAGAGCGGGCTGAGGTCTGCGTCAAGGTCGAAGCGGAACTGGGCGTATTCTTCGCGTTTGGTGGAGTAGTAGTGTGGTCGGCCTTTGACGCTGTTATACCGCGAAATCGGATCTTAGTAAATGGGGGGCTTTTGCGAAGGCTTAGGGTTGCAAATCGCGACTTCCACTTACACCTGCACGTTCTTCAGCTGCACGGAGGCATTGGTCTCGTCTGCTGGGAAGAAGAGGACCGAGACGGCTGCCAGTGCGCTGACTACCAGCGCGACTGTAGTGAAGAAGCCGAATACGGCCTGGGTGCGGTTCAGGGAGGAATGCATGGTGTGTTGGGGGACGAATTGGGAAGATGAAGCCAGCTGGGCCTTTGGATCTTGGGGTCTTATCGATAAGCGCATCTATAAACTCGTCATCTCCGCAATAAACACAACTCTCATGGCTTCGTTCCTCTCTTCTCTTGTCTTTTGATTCTCTTTATGCTCTAAGCTTCTACTGAATTTGCGAATATACATATTATCTTACCTCACGTTCTATAGAATTTCTTATCTTGGAACCTCCCTCGACCCTCACGCAATAACCAACCCGACCCCACACCATACACAATGGGCGACCACGTCCTCTTCTTCTACGGTAAGTCCTTTTTGAATCAAGAGAAACCGAAAACTAAACTACCCAGGAACCCTAATGGCGCCCCAAATCCTCCACAGAGTAATCCACGGCCAGGCGAACCCAGAGCCCTGGCAAAAAGCCATGCTCCGCTTCCAACCCGCCATTCTACAAGGGTACCGACGGCATCGCGTGCAGAACGCCGATTACCCAGGGATCGTGGCGGTGCCAGAAACAGAAACCGAGTCCGATTTATCTGCACCGAAAACCAGCGCTGAGACGTCTGTCGTAGGAACACTCGTGTCGGGACTAACAGACGGCGACATCCACCGACTGGACAGATTCGAGGGCTCGGAGTATGAGAAGAAACGGGTTACTGTGCGCACGCTGGCGGCGGTGGTGGGTGGTGATCATGGTAATGCTAGCGAGGGTGCTGCTGAGAACCAGCTGCGCGAAATGCTCAATGCGACGACTGGCGCTGAGGTTGCGGCTGAGGGGGAGGAAGTTTCGGCTATGACTTACGTTTATACTGCTGGGGAGGATATGCTTGAGGATTCGGAGTGGGACTTTGAGTCGTTTAAGAGGGATAAGATGGCGTGGTGGGTTCAGGCGGATGAGAGTGAGTGGTAGTTACATATATTATTGGTATTTTCTCGGAAAAGACATTAAATTTGCATTTCGATGTAGGTGATGGTATCTTATGCTATGACTGTTAAAGACACGAAGGAAAAAAAACACCATCCTTCTTTCATCGAACGCTGACGCAGGGCTTGCCATGCCGCGTACATTGGTTAAAACGCTAAATCAATAGTGAACATATTTGGATTCATGATGCTCAGTCCCGGTCCAGCCGGTACTGTGTTGATATCGTCTTGACAATAACTGTATCACTTGCATGAACAGATTCATCTCTTTCGCGAATGGCCGTGTTTCCTTCGTTCTTTTTTCTTAGGGGACGGTGTGCCTGGCACTTCGGGCTCTTCCTGGCTACCGGGTACTTGGATGATGGGTTTCCCCTTTGCTGGAGCAACATAGTCATTTTGCGACTTCGCATCTGCAGGTGGGTTGGAGGGTGATGTTTTCGGTTTCGGGTCTTTTGGTTTCGGGAGGTTTCCGGTAGGTAAGAGATGCATTTGCTCCGCGGTTGAATCTTCGCTCGAGTCTTCGGTCTTCGAATTGGCAGGTTTCGCAATGTCCTTTGAAGAATCTGTCTCATGCTGAGACTCAGGTACCACATCAACATCCGCAATTTCATCCTGACAAGGAAGAGGCGGGCCAAGCAGGAATGAAATGGGCCGTCTGACTGCCATGACAGGCTCACCGGCTTGCCGCTGTTCCTCGTATAGCTCATCTAGAAACTTGCCAAAGCGGTATCGCAGGAGACCAGAACCTAGTGGAGGCCAGTCATCGACAGAATTCATGCTCCGCTGTAGTACCTTCGTGATGAACCAATCCGGGCTTTGAACAAACTTCTCCAGATATGCCAAGAGATAAAGACCGCAGTCCCAGAAATTAGGCTGAAGGGGGATATCACGAGCTCGCATGCCCTTGACGTCGTTCGGGTCAAGTTCGACGCCGCGTTTAGACTCCGCTTCGCGGCAGATGTATTCGCGGAGAATTTTGATAGTGGGGGAGCGAGGCATATCAAGGGAATCGAATGTGACGATCGTAGTTTGGTTCGGATCTAACTTTAACCCACTTCTTTTCTTCTTGGATTTGGTTGTCGGTTGTGACGCCGCGGCCTGGTCCTGGGCGAGCTTTTGGCCTGCAAATTTGGAGAGATTTGGGGGTGGAAGTGGGTTGTCGGATGCGGACTGCTCCTCTGGCTTCATCGCATGCTCATCTCCCTCAGTCTGCCCCCTGGTCTCAGATTCCTCTCGAATCTCACGAGGCTGATTGGCCTCACTAGAACCGTTGAGCTCTGACTTTGACCTTAGTTCCGGCTCAGGTGTCTCCTCAATTTCCTGGATCTCACTCTCAGACGCATTGGATGATTCTTTTTGGAGAGCCGGTCTTCGAACCGACTCTACGGCGTCGGCAGAACCAAGGGACAAGCTTGGCAAGTTGCAAATGATTGCAACGTACCAATGGGCATTCTCGTTGATAGGAACGACGATATAATCATAACTGAAGAGATCGACGTTCCGAGTCCACTTCTCCACACCACTGTAGTTGATCCCACGGCCCCCCCGTGGGGTATTCGTGAGAGTCGCAAAGAAGTAGGTATTGAAGAAGTAGATCCTCTTGGCAGCCTCTTTGTTGGTGCGTTCAAGATGATCCTGGAGGAAGCGCATGTAGAGAGCAATGAGGTTATCGTTCAGGAAGTCGTCCCTCAATAGCCGTTCTCGATCAACAAGTGTCACCTCAGCCTTCTTCTTTCCATTTCGCGGATACACCAACGGTTTCTTCCACTTTTGCCTGAAAGAATCATCCCTGGGAAATGAGTTCGACTTTGCTTCAGATGTACTGTCTCCATTTGCGAGCTTTTTAGCGCCACGGCGGGTAGAAGACCGGGTCTCGCGTTCAAGTGGGTTAGCGGTAGATCGACTATCAGCTCCAGTATCGGTATCAAGAGGTCGAGAATTCTGTTGCTCTTTGGCAGACGTTCGAGAATCAACATTGCCGTTTCCGTGTTTTACTTTTTCCTGAGCGGCGCATTTGATCTCAAGTGAACTGACATTGTTGACTTCACCATGGTCATCTCTCAAGGACTTTGAAAGTTTGGGCCGTCGCGAAGGAGGAGGAGAGTGCGCTGGATCGGGATTGTCCACCAAGTCATCAAGTAGCCGCTTCTTAGGCCGCTTGTTCTCCCGTGGGAATTGTTTTTCATACTTCAAAAACGCCTTGTCCATCCATTTCCTATTGCAATGTTAGTGAATCGCGAACTCACCCAAGAGATAGCCCACAAAACTTACATATCTTTGGTGGGACGCTGGGCCTGTTTCGCCTGTTTCAACGCTTCCAGG